TAAAACAGTTCAACTCATAAAATATGCATACTTGCCAATTTATTGTATCAATCAAGTTGTGTGGGCCATTTAAAATCTCTCTTTGTCCTATTTGTGGCCCTTGAGCCAAACTTTGGACTCACCTGATGTAACTCAAGTTATGTAACTCCATCAGATTGCTAGTGTGAGTTGCATCAGCAGCAGGTACTGTCACATTGGCCAATTTCCTGTGTGTGGGACAGAAGGCTCTCTCGGATCATGGCCCTCTGAAAGTGCCCAGAAGTGTCCGTGGCTCCTCAACCCCCTTCTCATTAACGTTCCCTCCACACACCACTGAACCCAGCGCTACTTAAAAACACATTGAATGAGGCAGAGGGAAAGAGAAGGCCTGTTTATCTCCAACTTGGGAACTGATCCAATTAAGTAAGTGCCCATTTGCATCCATCAAACAGACCCAAACTAGGAAAGAAAAGTAAAAAAAAAAAAAATTGAAGAAAGAAGGTCCATTTGTTATCCAAGGTGGATGGGGGGTAGGGTAAAGTGTCCCAGGTGAATGCTGGGTAATGGTAATGTTACTTGTGTTTGTGTGTGTGCGTGTGAGCTGAAGCATTATAGTGGTCATTAGGACAGATATCGGTGTGGTAATGTGGAGCAGATGTTGTGAAGAAAGGGATCATTTAAAAGGGGCAAATGTAAATAAACATTGGTGGTGGCCGGGTGCCCCTCCCTCTCTTCTGGACCCTCTGAAGTCCCCGAAAGAAAACAGTTCATCAATCTTCATCACGGCTAATAATCATGTTCTATTAGGGAGCTTATCACATGTAGACACGACCATTTTCAAAACTTAAAAATAATAATAATAATAAAAAATAAATAAAACATAAAAATATAGAAACAACAAAAGGGCCTAATTGACTTTTTTGCTTTTGACAAATAAAAATAAAATGTTGTATACACTGCATTTGATATGAACTCAGTTTAACATAGTATTATTTTCTGAAAGTGTTGAAGATCAATTTCTGCAAACTGACGTCACCACAGCAGAAAAGTGGCTTCCTAGTTATTTTCACGGAGAAAGGATTTTACTGGGTACTCTTCCAAAAAAAATATCCTCAATAAATATTTTTCAATTGAAGCCGTTGTACTGTAAATATAGCTGTTTGTAGAGAAATCCATTATTAGTGTAGACAATGAAGAATTCTTAACATTCCATGCACTGCCTTTACTTATCACAGACCAGAGTGTGTCATACAATACCTCAGAGTATTAGATCATCCAGACTTTTTCTTATGTTCCAGGCGCCTTGTCATTCTATACGTATTGGGTAAATGCATGCTGCTTACCTCTGGGCATCAGAATGGGCGGAGCTACACGGGACAGGAAGAAGCCACCAGCAGAGTTGCCACCCCCTGACTGCACACACTTACCGCTCTGTGCTTCGTGGGCCTGTCCCGTGCGTTGCGTGTGCTCCGTGTTTTCCATATTGGTGCGTGTTGGTGTCCACGTGGCTGCCTCCGGGCCAGGCCAGAGACCCTCAGTGTGAGCCCCAGCATAAGCCCTTACATGGCCACTGAACACAGGGCCTTTGCAGTCACAGGGTCAGGAGCTCACGCCACACTTCTGTCAGGGCAGATTGGTCAATGAGCTGTTTATTTTAGCAGGCCAAGGTGGAAGTCTGACTGATACAAACATACAGTGTGAAGTTTTCCTATAGTGTTTGATATAACTAAATCTATTCACCCAAGTACTCTTTAGAGGTAATTTTACTTGCCATTATGGTCACAATTCACAATGTGGGTTTTACGTTTACTCCATCCACCTGATTTTTTTATTTTATTTTTTTTACCCCTGGGGTGTTGTGGACATATTAGTAGTGAAAGAAGTATACCATATTAGAAACAAACAAGTTGAATGACTTGTCAGACCAATGGTTATGACACATTCATGAAATCACTCTGATGATGATGAAAAAATAGCACTGTTGCCATTGCAATTTACAATTTAAAACAAAATGTTATGTAGTGTGAATGGTGAAAAGTCTTCCTGCATAACAGGAAGCTGAAACCTGTGAATATCAATTCAAAATCTACAATATTTAGTTTCTCTGAGTTATTGTAAGTCCAGCAGTCTGTCTGGGCTTTACTCCATAACTAGAGCAAGCTTTTTCCCTCCACTCTTTCATACAAATGTTTTATTTATGTTGGGGGCATGTCACTTAAAACATCTCACAGCTGAAAATTACACGTGTAATCTCTCCCAGAGGACCTCTAAGGAGAAATAGAAAAACATTCAGTCAAGTGCAAAAAAACTGTGCCAAATCACTCTGCGCCACCTTATCTGGACTGTGTTCCGTCTGTTCTCAAGGGCTGTACAAGTCCACCTTTCCCCTGACTATGAAGGGCAACCAAAGATTTCAGAATCATGTTACAAGATATTGAAGTCTTTTCAGATATGAAATTCAATGCACTGAGCTGAGAAGTCAATAGTTATATTAGTGCTTGAGAGTCTTCAATAAGCTTTGACATAAACATGCCAACAAAACATGGCAGCAAGTGCCAAATGTGAGCGGGGCAGATAACCAATAAGAGTTAAAATAAGGTGTCTTTTTGTATCTTCATTTTTTAAGAGGTATCTTTACTTTTGCACTTGAAAATGTTCTTCCTGTTCCTTCCTGTTCCCCAACTAGTGCTGAATTGTGGCGTATTGCCCTAGGTTTGTGCTGATTGTAAGATCAGAGTAATAGATACATTGAGGACATAATTCCTGCTAACAAATCAATGTGCTAACGTTGAATCTATTGACAGTAATGAGGTTTTCATTTCAGCTCAGCCTTATTTAGAGGGTCACGATGGCGCGGTCCTGTGACAGGTGTATGATCGGTTTAACCACTCTCACACAACTTTGCGCAGAGGTTAAACTTAACGATAAATAAATATTAAAAAGGAAAAGGATATAGGCCCTATTTTCATTTCCCCCAAACAGCCGAAATACCAAAGCTTCGACTGTGTTTAAAACGAAATCCTCTTAAAACATCACGCAAATATTTAGATCTTAAAAGACTCATGGACATTTTGTCTACATCGAATCCTTTTGTTTTAGAGCTATAGAAGAGGCCTATAGGCCTATAATTGACCATCGAGGCCGCAAAGTCACGTTTAATGTGTGTGTATGCTTTACAAAGCAATGCGTAAATGTAATCAAATATTTTTTTTAGAATATTGTTCCTTCATATAACGCGTTTTGTAGGTTAAATCAATTGAAGAGCAACGCATTTTTTAAATTCTCTTCTGCTTTTGTTGTCGGATTATTTTCCCTTTTTTCGTATGAGAGAACGGTTTGAGTCCTACTTGGTATTCCTGAGGAACAGCAACGATAAAGAAGCGACGAGCTTTTCAGGGTCATGGTGAGCGACAAAGTTGGGGGTAAAAAATGTATTCGTTCTGAATTAAATTATGAATAATAATAATAATAATAATAATAATAATAATAATAATAATAATAATAATAATAATGCACAATAGAAATGACACGGATGTGAAATGCACTTGACAAACAAACGTCACCCTGTCTTAGATGATTCAGTCTGGGATTTATGCGTTTCCCTGTGTGTGAACAACGCCATTTCACGTGAAACTCTCTCAGGACGCAGTTCACGGAACAGAGAAATACCCGGGGGACGCGAAAAAGAAAAACATAATTATGCTATTTAGACGCCTGATGTGTTGCAATCAGTGGCAGGTTCTGGAGCGTACGCACACACCGCGCCGTGTCACCGTGAATTCAAACGCGCGCAGGCCCGGGTAGAGGACATTAAGGCTTAGGGAATTACTGCAAACCTCAGGGGACGCTTCAAGCTGTAAAGGGGAAAGCACACTATAGAGATTAATGGCGCCCATAAACAACTGCGCGCTCTCCCACTTCACTTGGGGTCAACAACGACAGCAACACAAACATATCAATAATATAGGCTACGTTACTATCAGTAAGATCCTCATGGATGGTCAAATTGTGGGAAAAATAAAATAAACAAAAGGTTCAAAGGCCATTTTGCTTAAGGCCTGTTTTAACAACAACAAAAACAACAACAACAACAACAATAATAATAATAATAATAATAATAATAATGACTAAATACATTGATATATTGATTATCATTAGCTCCTAGGCGTTTCTTTAAATATGTTCAACTCAAAGTATTCCTTTTATTCACTTGTCCAAATTGCCATAATCCTCCTAATAACTGTGATCATTGTCTGTGCCCCACTGGCTCCGGTTCTTTTCTTTTTTTAGACAGGCCATTTGATCAGGCGTGGGTTTCCATGACGGATTAACGAGAGCGAGGCCCCCTGAAATACTAGGAGCAAGTGTGACACCTACCTGCAGAAGTTGGAAGAGTTCTGAGTAGAGCTAAGTGCTTTGCTACCGGCTGCACACTAGACCCATTCCCTTCTATTTCCTCCCCAATGTTTTATGCGCCATTTAAGAACGCCTCCGTTAATGGCATATAAAATAACAGCGCAGTATGTTTTAAATGCATGGTCGCATCCCTTTTAACTGTTCTGCCACGCCTTTGAAAATAGTAATGAGCTCCAAATTTGGCATAAAATCGAGCTCATTACGGGGGTTCAGCACCTGATTGCGCTGCGTAAAACCTAATTGGGTTAAATGCTGGGAGTTGTTATGATATCAATATCCGCTTGCAACGTGCTCTAGTGAAAGCAGAGAGGCCTGCGAGGGTTTGCACAGGAAGGAAAATAAAGTGAGATAAGCCCCTAAAAATAAACATCGCTGACATTTTTCATTAACAAAAAAAGAAAAAAAGAAGAAGCAATTTTACTCCATCCATTCTCTTATCAACTTTCTGCGTAAAGTTCTCCACGGGTTTTACACATTATTGCTTCAATGAGTATCTTCTTTCTATCAGTGGCCTGGAAGCATCACACACACGCACCCACGCACATACTCACACGTCAATGCCAAATCCAAAACAATCGCTGAACAAATATTTTCATTTTCCATAATTTACTTCAAAGATAGTGTGTTCATTTTAAATACAAAAATGCTACATTAAATATACATGTTAGTCTTTAATACAAATAGACTCCAGGGCTGCTGCAGCGATTAAGACCGTTCTTTGTTACTTTGTTTTTGTAGGATTAGCCATTCAGAAACTGAGGATTTTTCAGAATAAGCTTTTAACTCCAGAAAATAATTGTTCTGTGAATTGGCTTTGTTGTTCTCTCTTAATGCAACCACATTGGCAATAAATAAAAAGTCCTTAGCGGCTGTAAAATAGCAGGTATTAAATATTTGACATACCTTTCTTTAGTTCATAAGGGGAGTCTTTACAAAGATCTACCTGTGTTTGGCCTCTGACTTTGTGGCTCTCTCTTACAAGCGCCTCGGCTCTATTTAACACAGTCTGATTTATTCCATTGAAATGCGGCGTGGAGCCAGTGCCCACGGAGCTGTGGTTACTGTGCAAGTGTCCGAAAGTGCCCCCATAGTTCGTGTAGCCGGGGTAGAAGGGGGTCGTGTAGTACAGAGGCCTTGACAGGACCGTGCTGTTCGGGAGTGCGCACTGGGGACTAGACCGAGACGGGGACGCGCTGGAGCCCATCACAGAACTCTGAGCAGGTGAACCGTCGCTGCTTCCACTTTTGCTACACCTGTCTGAGGACGTGGCGATCTCCGCTAGAGACCAAAGTTTAGGCTTAGGGGCTGAGGGAGGCGAGTGGATGACAGAAGTGACGTTACTTGTGACTGAACTAGGCGCGTGGCTAAGGTCTGAGGGTTTGTCTTGAAGCGCGAGGCTCGCTCTGGAAACGGCAGATGGAGACGAAGTGGTGGGTTTGGCAGAGTCTGGCTGCAGCTCCGCTGAACTAGTCCGCTCTTCCGGGTCTTTTAGTTCCGAGTCGCTGAGGAGAGGGTCCGTGTCTTTGCCCAGTGTCTCTTCTTTAAACCGGTCACAGCCTAAGTCTCCGGGGTTTAGGAGTTTGTGATCTGCAGAGTGCACAACAGAATAAATTAGGCCACATAGCAACATAACTCGAACACTTTTCTTCGTGTCACAAAAATAACTAGAAATGAACATCTAGACCATGCAAACTAACAAAGTAAAGCGTGACGCACAAACAAGAAAAAATAAACATAAATCACTTCAAAATTATCATTAATTACGCATGCATTTTCGAGATGAAATATGTTTCACCCTGAGAGCAATTGCTTTGATAAAGCCGAGGCAGCCGTTACAGCACTAATCTGTAATAATATGAGTGTGATTTTTAAAGACGCACAGTGCACCAGCTGTAGCCCTATTATACACTTAAAGATAAATTGACTGCTAAACACTTTGAGTCACCAGCAATTCCAGCCTCACTGAAGGCAAACGAGGGGAGTTCAAGGTGATTATTATTTAAAGCAATTGTCCCATTATAAATAATATACCACCATTAACCAGCAATCAATTTAGCAGCCTTAGCAAAAACGACTGCGATGAAAAATTTATGATTTTTTTTTCTCCCTCTTTTTGTTCCCCCATGCAGCAGTGTGAGCACCAACCTGCTTCTGTGTCTGTGGAGTCCCCCTTGTCTAAAGGTTTAGTAGGCTCATCATCGTCGTTTTTCTCCAGATCAATATTCTCGTCCTCCTCCTCGTCCTCACTGCGGTTCCGTGGCGTCCACGTCATCTTGTTCTCCTTCTTGAGTCTCCTCCTGGCGTTGGCGAACCAGGTGGACACTTGTGTGAGGGTCATCTTTGTGATGATGGCCAGCATGATCTTCTCTCCTTTAGTGGGGTACGGGTTCTTTCGGTGCTCATTAAGCCAGGCCTTGAGCGTGGCTGTGGCGTCCCGTGTAGCGTTCTTTCGGTAGGCTGGGTCGCCGTATGGGTACGTGCCCAATGGCGCGGCGTATGGGTGGTATCCTATGGAACCGGCCATGCCCGTAGTGTGGTCGTACGGGGAACTCTGTGACAGACAAAACATTGTGATGTGAGCAAATCCAGAAGTATCAGATTTATGGTCAAAATCTATTTAATGTGAATAAATTAGCTACGTTTCTAATTATATGATTTAATTAGTAAAGTGTGTACGTATGGATACGCGCATTCGGCAACACAGACATAACACTCAAACACACACACACTCACACAAAAACAGTTGCAAAATGAGCTCAAGTTGCAACAGGAAATACCATGGGTTTGTTTGAGTGTGTCCCGTCCATATTATTTATTTTCATATTTAGGCCTGTTACGTTATAGCTAAAAATGTAGACTGTATTTTAAAAATTTTATTATAAAAAATATAAAGAAAAATACATTTTTTTTGGACAATGTCATTGTGCCACTCGGCGCGTCTAACTAATTCCGTGTCATACACTGTAGTCATTATAGGCTACTCCCTGTAAATGGGCCTAAACATGCATCAGTATAACTCGCACATAATCAACTATTTTCACAATTTGAACACTAATCAGTTCTACTTTTCACCATTTCCAAATTAACCGGATCACCTTTTATGACTTAAAGAACTGCTGCGTGTAGAAGAGACACACGCAGTGCTCTCTGTTCATAATTTTCTTGACGTCGCTCTTCTTTAAACTCGACTCGACTCGGTGTAACTCCTTTTAAAAATCTAAATTAGTTCTAACTACATGTTTTGGTTTGTCTAATGTTATAGTGCACTTTTGCACACGCTGATTTCTTAATCGCTCACCCCTGGCGCACAGCGTGCGTTTGAGGCTGATACGACTTAATAAACTGGCGTTTACTGCCTGCTGGATGGAATAATCACCTTGAGTTTACTCACCACATACGAGGTGAATGTGGCGGCGGCAGCTGCGTCTGCATTGTACGGCAAATGGGAATTGTACCCCGGTGACGCGCTGGTGAACGCGGTAGATCCGGCATAAGGTGCAAAAGCAGATCCAGACGAGGATCTCCCGAGTTCCTCGGTCCTGGGTCCCGATATGACACTGGTGCTATATGCAGGGCAAGAGTACAGGGCTAGGGACGCGGACGGCTGGTACAAGTAGCCCTGAGGATAAGCCATGCTTGAAGCCCAAAGATTTGAAGTCACTAAACTTGCGCACTATCCTTTATTGTCTCATGTGCTTGCGCAGACCCTCCGCTTGTCCCCTCAGAATGAGAAAAGTGCTCAAAGAAGGTAAAAGAAGGTTGAATTTGAGAGGTGTCGCTCGCTGCCACTTTCCGTCGGGTGAAGAGTGTGGTTTTGTCGCTCCTTGTGTGAGTTACGCCGCCGCGCTCATGCCTGCGCACTAGGTATTTTACCCGTCGGACAAGGGCTTTGCTTGGGAAAATGTCCTGCCAAGATGCTAAGTTGGAAATTGAGGATCCTGACGCCTACTACGCTGTACAGTACGCTCCTCCTCTTGGGGTGTAGTCAGCCTTGTGCAGCGCCAAGCTCTCTTTACCCTCTCTCTTTCCTCCCTCTTACCCTGCCTCTGTCCCTCTAGCTCTCTCTCTTGCGTTAACTAACAATCCCCCCTTACTCCATTTCTCCATTTTTCCTGCTTAACAAGCTTCCTCACTGCAGTGAGTCTCAAGTGCGCGCATGGCAGCCCCCCTTTTCCCTTTTGGATAGCGACACCAAGCGCTTCTGTCAACTCCCAACTTTTCTTCTCCTGCAACTTATTTCTTCCTTTGCTTGCAAAACTGAAGTGGTAACGTCCACACTTGATCAACCACAAATCGTCTGTGCTGGGGCAAGAAGACGTGGGGTGGAAGTCCAGCGAAGAATTTTCGAGACGCCCCGACGCTGCACAATTTTCAGGCAGACTTATTCGTGAGTAAAGGCAAAATGAAAATGCATTAATTTAAGAAAAGGTTTTAAAAGGATTGTTTTTTGCGCAGGTCGGCTTTGGCGCAGGCGTTCAGGACATTGGTAACAATATAGCTGTAAAATATCTAAAAAGTTATGTGCTGCATTGTGTTTGTCCAAGTTCGTCGTGCTTTGGACAGTTCAACAGTAGACTGTCTAGTGAATTATGTATTTAAAAGGAAAGTCATGGAAAGCCTGAAGCTCGAACAAATTAGTGGCAGGATAAGTGCTCTAAATCCGCATACACTCTTCAAATAATCGCATCAGATCACCGCAGATAAGCCTTTCTAGCATTTCACAGATCAACTATTAATTAGATAGATTTATTTATGGCACACACACTTTAGCTCACAACTTCTGTTATTCTATATTCTTCTGTTATTATTATTATTATTATTATTATTATTATTATTATTATTATTATTATTATTATTATTATTATTATTATTATTATCTTAAATTAGGATTTTGCTAATTATTTTGAGAGACTGATTTTAATGTTCAGATCTCAGTTGAGCCGAAAGGGATCGCTGTAGGCGCTACTATGTGCACACTTAGTCACGTGCCTTTTTTTACGCTCTGAAAACCTCCAGAGAGCAGAGGAGCACAGGGTGATGACGCTGTTACGGCGGCTAACGTGCGTCCTAGACAAGTAAACTATAAGGAAGGGTTTGTGGTGTTAGATTTGTTGACCCTAGAATGAATTAAAGGGTATTATGGAGACTTGTGTGTTTAGTGTAACTTAGATATAGGCCTAAAGATATCGCACCAGCTTATTTAAAGAATGTAACAATTTAAACAGAAGAATGAAATAATTCTAACTGACATAAGTAGCGTTTTTATATACGTGATTAATGGTATTTTAATCTACAGAAATGTTTACCAAAATGCTGTACGGATATGGCTGAATAAAAATGACCTGACAAATCTGTGACCTCTCGTGTGTGTTTCATGACTGGTTTTGTGCAGCAGGGGGAGGACACGGGCACTGCACTCACATAATAGCAGGTTGGTGAGTTCTCTTGGCTATTCATCTGGATGTCTGGCGAGGTGTTAAAATGTTTTATTCTCCCGTAAATAATTTTGCTTTGTTTTTTACGCACGTATCTTTGACGCTTTAAACCGGGGGAAAATGTCAATGACAGATGATGCAGTTTAAATGCCTGAGGGAGAGCGTAATCTAAATTGGATATAGAGGCTATTATTACACAACATTATGCGTTGTGGCAGGCTAATTGCATGACTGCCTGGGTTAAAACACTCCGTTAATGTCGAGTGCTGGTGGACAGGTTTTGCGGAGCGCACAAGGTCAGCCGCACTGCTACTACCGCTGATCCCAAAAGCATTTACGCAAAATGCTTCAAGTATTCATGGGCGTTTTAACCATTCGCAATCTGTGTCCTAAACCGATTACTTGACACCAATTTTTCTTTGATGTATTAGCTGAGGGCTTTTGCCACTCGGAAGCCAATTGAAATTCAAAACAGTTTTCAGCCCCAAATGCTTTGGGGAGATCTGACGCAAATAATGGATGTAATTTATTTTTGACCTTGTATTTTTCTTTATAGCGGAGTGGGCTGGGGAGTATTAATTAAACATAATATGAAGTATGGTTAAATACAGCATCTGGAGACGGGGGAATCCATTATTTTCCCGTTTCAAACAATAATGATTAAGAAGCCTTTTTATCCGCTATATTATACGTTTAAAGTGATGTATTAGACTTAAATGCTATTCAAATATCTAATAACGCAGATGTTAAAATAAAATAATTATTCTTTTGCATAATAACTAGAAATGTCTATATATCTAAACTATGTATTTTAAAGTAACATTTGCATACTGTCTACTCTGTTTGTTTGTTGCTTTTTTCTTTTCTTTTCTTTTTATCCAATGCGACTGGCAGGAAACCATATCTATCCACGCCTTTCTTTCCACTTATTGACCCGAATGAAGATGTATGGAGCCCATGTGTGTGTTATGCTTTGCCATTATGGTCTATGGCTGCCCCCCTACTTTGCTTTCCACCCAGCTCCCCAAGATCCCCTCAAGGCTGAATGGCAGGCCTCTAGATTGGCTAAGTGATGAAATGATGACCCTATTATGAGAAGCGATTCCAAAATAAGAGGTATCATACAAGGATTGCTCCTTTTCTCTCTCTCCATGTGTCCTCATACGCCACACACTGCCAGCTGTGCACATCAAGATTGATTGGCTGTGGGTGGATCGCAGGAAGCAGGCATTGATTTTTTTTTCTACTGTTGTATTAAAAATATTTATTTACACTTCCATTGTGAGGCTGACTCCATCCTACAAGCCTGCTGCTAAATTAGGGAAGCACATAAGGGATAATTTGGGCCTGGCCCCGTGCCTAGACAAATGACCTGTAATATTATTTCAGAAATGAGTCAATAGGCTCAGTGACTAAATGAATATTGATTGGATATAATGAGGTCTGAGTGTGTTATGAGCTCTTTCAATCAGTTTCTCCTGTACGCTGATCCCAGACGTCTGCAGCTGTTTTTGCATACAATGGGGAAGAATATGCAGCGTGGTGTAGCAGTCATGTAAGTTCTTAATTTTCTACATGGCAAAATCACAACATATTGTATGAAGATTTTGGTGGTGGCAAGCACATAATTAAGCAATGTAAATACAATATATAAAGTGCTCTATCCTACCACTGATTAAAAAAAAAATAAAAAATACATTCAGTAGCCATTTGATTCAGTTTTTTGTGTTGCTGCATGCTGTAAAATATTTAAAGTATAATCTTGTATAATATATAAAGAATGATGAATTTTTAAATTTGCTCTTCTCAAAAATGACTGTTGGTCAGTGAGATCTCTGCAAATCCCTTATACTGTATTACTTAAAACATGTGACTGCTCTACAGGAACCATGGCTTTGATTATCCAGGTGAAAGAGAATGCAAGGGTGCTTCCAGATGGGATGCTTATGCATGTGATGTGTAATAGAAGTTGACGAGGTTGGTGATAGATCACAGGCCAGGTAATGTAAACACATTAATCCCCCCAGGTTAGTTGGTGTGCTTTTGCTCCCCTCACTTTTCTATGAGGCTCATTCTCTGAGACCCCCACCCACCCCATCACTTCCAGCACACTTCTCCATGTTCATCATCTGCCTTTAAATACATTAGTGATGCACAAACCAGAAGCAACCTTAATCTGTCAACATGGCCTTTAATTGGAGGCAGAAAACAACATGTGCTTGTGCTGGTGCCATTCCTAAGTGCACATGCCAAAGAAACATGGAGTTCACGGAAGAAGTGATCCCATGAGAGCGAGGAGTAATTAAAAGTATCTTTTAATAGGCTTGTAATGCTGAGCCCCAGTCTTGTTGCCTTAAGCAGGGGGCGAACTCTGTGGCTGGAGATGGACTTGAGAGGTTCTTCTGCTTGGGGAGGCTAAACGATACATTAGCTTTTCTTTGGTCAGACATACAGTCGCTACCTCAGCTACCACATTTACAATGACCTTTTAGTGTTTGTAAACACAACATACAAGGCTGGCAGAACTGTTGTACATTTTCTATGGAGGAGAATGGCTTCATAAATGTTAATGGGTACATAAATAATGGGCAATGCCATTTGAAATATATGTTTACCAACAGCAAAAATATGTGAATATAGATATTAGATATAATAAATAAATAAATGTTGGTTTGGGGTCCTGCCAAGTAAACTGCTTGTGAATATGCAACTTATTGCAGACTGTACAACTGCTGTTATGGCAACTACATCTGTTGGCTGCTAGTTCTTTTGTTCTTCTAAATCAGTATCTGCTCCACAGCATTACACCTCGTCTCCTCCACTCCCAGGCCACTTTGGCAACCTGTGTTGTACCTCCTACTCACTACACCAGTGGGGGTGAGAGATGGGACTAAGTGGTTGATTTGGGACCTGCTCCACTGTAATCAAATGAGACTGCTTAAAGGGAAAGGAGAAGGCGGAATATTATGTTTTGCCATACATTTCCTATTTTTTTGACAGATGGACTTTGATGCTGTATCTTCTTACCTTTGTAGTGGAGGCATCCGTGTCCTATGAACACACAATGAGAAACATCCCTAGCATTTGAAATTTAGATAACCATTTTTGCTTTCTGCTCGCTGCATGTGCTCAGTCACTTCCCCCTGTCTCCCACTGCTGAGGTTTTAAGTTTCATTGAAGCATCTTGCATTCAGCCTTTTTTCATTTGGTGTGTCATGTGTAATCTATGCCAACAACAATGCCAACATGGCTGCGAGTTTCTCGCTCTCTCCTGACACTGCTGCTACTGCTTTGTTTCAGCAGTTGTGTGCGCAGTGCTTTACAATGACAGTGTGCCAGGTGTTTAGTT